ATCCCGAGAAATGGCTGGATGTAATGGAGTGGCTCGAGGATCAACCCGAGAGCTAGCGGTGACTGAAATATAATGTTGCATGCGGTTATACCTATTAAGCTGTCTTGAGTACTTTTGTGTGTAATTCTGACTCTTTAGTTTTACAGTTCGTTTGAGAGTTTCTTGACGTGCACGTGGTGAGTTTTGATGTTGTCGGATTACTTGGTGAAGTGGTGTGATGAGCAGTGGTTGTAAACGTTTTTTTCAAGTATTAAGCTTTTTTTGGTTGATAATAGTCGACTTTAGGATATACATTGATGACGCGTTCGTTGGATATATTGCCTTGACTTCAACATAGACGCACAGTGAACAAATGTGGTGAACTAATAAGGACATCATGGGGAATGATACTTTAACGCTTTGGTATTCCTGGAACGGATATGATTTGCATTGTACTGTAACTGTTTGAACATAGGACGTAATAAACATTGCCTTCGAGTTTTGACGTAAAATTGTTGCAGATGAATAAAAACGTATTTTAACAAATGTTTGTCAGTTCTTTATTGTATAATGTTCCTAGCAAAAACATGTTCAGAGAATTTCAGGTGGAGGATCTCCATCACACAAGTGTGCCCTTAACCCGCAGCATCTTAGCTGTCTACACGATTAACACGTGTTCATTGAGGGGAAAGGTCCCCGTAGTTAATCGTTCATCAACGTACCAGTCTCTAATTCCGAAGTATGTCGGGGAAAAACTGTACTCTATGACATGTAAACTGTAATCCTATGAACGATAACACTGAACATTAAACGATTATAAACTAGTGTTTTAATTTATAACCATTTAAACGGAGGTAAGGTATTATACTATCATTAGAAGCATTAGAATCACAGTGTGGTCGTATAAGAATCACGCACAAACCCATTATAAACTCATGAGATTATGAATCTTTACAATTATTATAACAATCACAAATTGTGACAAAGCGAAATTCCCACAAGTAAAACACCACGCTCACGTGACGAATTCTTAAACAAACTGCAACACTCAAGTGACAGAACTTAACAAAAAAACGCCGCAATAAAAAAAACATCAATGGACAAATCGTAAAAACAGACAACACACGCACGTTAGTAGCTGTTAGAAGAAGACAACACCTAGCACCTTCAACTATACACATCATACAGCCAACTCGTAAATGGGGCGGTATATGACAGCCTTCGCTTCTGTCGACGGGGCCAAGCAGCGAGTGTTTAACTCCATTGTTTCAGAATCCGTGTCATCACCCAGCCACAGCGCCTTACCCAAACTACATCTCCCCAACAAGGCAGCCTTCCCTATGCTGTGTATTTTAGCAGTTTATTTACGGACACACTTGAAGATAACAATTCGTCTAGAAAAGGCAGGCGACTTGTTCTACCAACATGATTTCAATTTATATCCGAAAGAAGTATGAGTTCATTCATGAGTAGTATTCACTAAGCACCGATGGCACTAACCTACACACAGTTATGATTAAACAAAGTAAACATTAGTCGCTCATCCCAGCTCAGACATGATCTTTGCAATAATTTCCAAATCCGTGTCGGGTCCCACGAGAACAGGGCACGTCCACAAACTCTCAAATTGTAAACTCACATTGCATACTCTAACATTATAAACTCTAACAATATAACCTTTAAACTATGAGCTATACATTGCGACGCTTTAAAATAACACTACAAACTAGTGTTATAGTAAACTATAATGATGTGAACTCTAACAATATAAGCTATGAGCGATACATTATAACGCTATAAAATAACATCATAAGCTAGTGTTACAGAATAGAACACCGTACATTGAAGTGTGATATTCGAATCTCATTCGAATTCTTAGCTTCACACCGTGATCCTATAGGAATCACACTATGCTCGTGAGTATGTAACATGTCTGTATGTAATATGTATGCATGTAAAATGTATGTATGTAACATGTATGCATGTAAAACGTATGTATGTAATATGGACGTGCCAACCAAGGGTGGAATATGTTAAATGGAAGGTTCAGGATCAAGATGGGATTGCAATTATTCGAATAACACTTTGGTAGTATTAGGATCAAGCTGTCCACTGCTGGATGAATGTTCCATCTCAATGGCATCAAATAGCAATATTCAGTATGAGTATGTAAAATAATCGCACAAACCAATATTAGCCCGTGAAATAATGAATCGTTACAATTGTAATGACTCCGGACTCAGACTGCAGAGGGTTCTTTTATTTAGTCTTTAACGCGGTTTCAGACCCCAGGCGTCACGATATAGCAACGACGACGACGAGACAGCAACCAGCCAACACAGCCCCTAACCTCGTTCCTCACCTCTTGTCCCTTAGTTGACGCACTGTCTTTACATCACCCACCTCTATGACCTCTACCTGACCCCGCCATGGGCGGAGCAACTTGGGGGATTTTCCCGGTGGCACCTGTGGGCAATACAACCATGCCCTGTCCCCCACTGCCCATGGAAGCACGTGTTCCCGCCGCCCCGAGTTCTTTTCATTAGCGTATTGCGCTCTGGTGGGGAAAGGTCCTCGTTATGAATCGTTTCGCAACGTTCAGGTCCAGAATACCGAAGTATACCGGGAATCACCTGTACTTAAAAACACGTAAACTGATAACACTATAAACAATAACACTGAACATTAAACGTCTATAAACTATCAACTGGTTTTATAATTCATAGCACCATAAACGGAGGTACGGTATTTAAATCTAATTAGAAGTATTAAAATCGCACTCTACACATATGTATGTAAATTATCTGTTCAATCAAACCGGGGGTCGGATATGTGAACTGTGGGGGTACAGGGCAAGAATCGCATTCAAATTTTAGAATAACAATATGGTCGTATTAGCAAATTACTGTGCTTTAATGTAGGTTATGTGCAAATGCAAATTGTTAGTCGTAAATGCGAGGGAGGGGTTAAGAGGTGCACGTTTAATCCAGTTATAACATTTACTTTAGCATACTATTTAAGGACACTATTGTTGATAAGAATTCGTTTGGACGTGGCACGGGCCTTGTTCTACTCGATCAACAAAAATTTGTACAATGTCGGTCATAAGGGAGTGCGTTTTCATACATACGAGCAGAGTTCGCTTGCACGTTCACTCTACATACATATGCGCAGTGTGATTCCAAGACGATCACATTGCGATTCTAATACTTCTAATTATATTCTAATATCGTATTAGAATATCCTCTAATATTGTATTAGAATATCTCTATTCTTTGGTTCTTTCGGTAAAGTCACGTAGGTAGAAATAAAACAAAATAAATAACGACGTTTCGGAAGGCTGTCATATACCGCCCCATTTACGAGTTGGCTGTATGATGTGTATAGTTGAAGGTGCTAGGTGTTGTCTTCTTCTAACAGCTATTAACGTGCGTGTGTTGTCTGTTTTTAGAATTTGTTCATTGATGTGGTTCTTTTTATTGCGGCGTTTTTTTGTTGAGTTCTGTCACTTGAGTGTAGCAGTTTGTTGCCAGATAGAAGGGTAAAGAACCAATTATCATATTTTTACTGGCAAATGAGGTCCCCATAGTGTAGCAGTTTGTTTAAGAATTCGTCACGTGAGCGTGGTGTTTTGCTTGTTGGAATTTCGCTTTGTTACAATTTGTGATTGTTATAATAATTGTAACGATTCATAATCTCATGAGTTTATAATGGGTTTGTGCGTGTATTTATATAAATATATTCCGTCTTTTGTTATTTGATGACATCTAGCAGTGAAAATCGTGATTGTATATGACCATGTTGTAATTGTAATAATTTTTATCCGATCCTTGCACGTACACTATACATACATATTAGCGATTCGTATACGACCACACTGTGATTCTAATGATATTATAATACCTTACCTCAGTTTAAATGGTTATAAATTAAAACACTAGTTTATAATCGTTTAATGTTCAGTGTTATCGTTTATAGTATTACAGTTTACATGTTGTAGAGTACAGTTTATCCCCGACATACTTCGGGATTAGGGACTGGTACGTTGATGAACGATTAACTACGGGGACCTTTCACCTCAAGGAACACGTGTTAATCGTGTAGACAGCCAAGATGCTGCCGGTTAAGGGCACACTTGTGTGACGGAGATCCTCCACCTGAAATTCTCTTAACATAGGAACATTATAAAATAAAGACCGGACAAACATTTGTTAAAAATACGTTTTTATTCATCTGCAATCATTTTTACGTCAAAACTCGAAGGGAATATTTATTATGTCCTATGTTCACACATTTCCAGTACAATGCAAACCATTACCAAAGCGTTAAAGTGTCATTCCCCATGATTTCCTTATTAGTTCACCACATTTGTTCACTGTGCGTCTATGTTGTAGTCAAGGCCATATATCCAACGAACTTGTCATTCATGTACATCCTGAAATCGGCTATCTAAAGTCGATTAATACCAATAAAAACAGCTATATGCTCGAAAAAAAACCGTTTAAAATGTTGAGTAAAGATGTACCTACAGACGCATTCCAACTTTAGCTCAACAGGAACACTTAACGACTACAATTTAACCCTCTCACAACCAGTCCTCATCACACCACTTCGGCAAGTCATCCGATAACATTACAAACCACCACTGGGCACGTCATTAAACTCTCACAAAAACTGTAAAACTAAAATGGTCAAAATTACACACAAAAGTACTCGATACGGCTTAATATGACATCATATTTTTTCAGTCACCCCGAGCTCTCTGGTTGACTCTCGAGCCACTCCATTACATCCAGCCATCTCTCGGGATCCAACTGCATGGGATCGAAGGTGGAAACTTCTTCAGGAATCATTGCAGCACCTTGAATTTCAGCTTTTGATTTCAGTTTCCTATCATTGTGGACCTTTTGATGCCCGTTCCTGGTTGATGAGTGTGCAAATTTCTTCCCACACACAGAGCACAGGAATGGCTTCTCGCCCGTGTGTGTTCTCTGATGACTATGAAGAGTTGATGAGTCTGCAAATGCCTTCCCACACACAGGGCACAGGAATGGCTTCTCGCCCGTGTGTGTTCTCTGATGACTATGAAGATTTGATGACTTTGCAAATGTCTTCCCACACACAGGGCACAGGAATGGCTTCTCGCCCGTGTGTGTTCTCTGATGACTATTAAGAGTTGATGAGTCTGCAAATGCCTTCCCACACACAGGGCACAGGAATGGCTTCTCGCCCGTGTGTGTTCTCTGATGACTATGAAGAGTTGATGAGTCTGCAAATGCCTTCCCACACACAGGGCACAGGAATGGCTTCTCGCCCGTGTGTGTTCTCTGATGACTATGAAGATTTGATGACTTTGCAAATGTCTTCCCACACACAGGGCACAGGAATGGCTTCTCGCCCGTGTGTGTTCTCTGATGACTATGAAGATTTGATGACTTTGCAAATGTCATCCCACACACAGGGCACAGGAATGGCTTCTCGCCCGTGTGCATTCTCTGATGAGTTTGAAGAGTTGATGACCGTGCAAATGCCTTCCCACACACAGGGCACAGGAATGGCTTCTCGCCCGTGTGCGTTCTCTGATGAGTTTGAAGAGTTGTCGATTGTGCAAATGTCTTCCCGCACACAGGGCACAGGAATGGCTTCTCGCCCGTGTGTGTTCTCTGATGACTCTGAAGATGTGATGCCTGTGCAAATGTCTTCCCACACAAAGGGCACAGGAATGGCTTCTCGCCCGTGTGTGTTCTCTGATGACTCTGAAGATGTGATGAGTGTGCAAATGTTTTCCCACACACAGAGCACAGGAATGGCTGCTCACCCGTGTGTGTTCTCTGGTGTCTCTTAAGACTTGATGACCATGAAAATGCCTTCCCACACACAGAGCAATTGAATTGTTCCTTGCCCCCGTGTGCGTGGGGCTGTGGAGAGCGTCTCTGCTCCATGTGAGCGTAGTAACAGTAGTGGTGTTATTGAGTCAAAAGTACGCTATCGGCCGCAAGGATGTTTAGCGTTGAGTTTCAGATTTTGTTAACTGCTAAAACAAGAACGACACTCTAACCGAGACGCAAAAAAATCCCGCTAATTTGACGACGAAAACGTTTAAGAGTTTATCCCCGAAAATAGACACTTACTTGGAGATTCACGGTATATCGATGTCTGGAACCCGTCTGAAGATGTCGCCACGAACTCTCCCGACGCAAAGTCGCCTAACTGTCGACACAGCAATTGTGCTCGCCAGGCTGCGTTGTCTCGCGGTTGAAGGGCGAACAGCAGAGCGACGAGTCGAGCGTCCAACCTCATCAAGTTCCCTCTCGAAATGGCATTGAGCTCTGCTTCTGAGCCGCCTTATAACTCCCCCCCTCGGATCCAATCCTTTGTCTTTCAGGATTTTTGCATTCGATTGTTAATTTTGGAAGGTACAATCCGCATATCTATTAACATACCGAAGAGTAATGTGTCCATTGTACTTCATGCATGAATATGTAAGTGCATCTCAGTGTGTAATTGTGCGCTTATTTTGAATAAATGGAAAAACGTTGTCCTCGATTTAAAGTGAATGCAGAGAAATTAGCATGTAACTTTAGAAAAGGAAGAGAGCGGCCTTCTCGACGAGGGAGTGAAACCCAATAGGTAATATTATTTTACAGCGTTACAATGGATAGGTTGTAGTTCATAGGTTATACTATTATGTTTCACTATGATAGAGCTTAACATGTGAGAGTATACAATATCAGAGTTGATCAAATGCGAGCAGGCTACCTTGAGAGCGATCGCGAATGGGTTGCGTGTCTAGAAGAAGCCTCGCTCTTTCAGATGCCGTACCAGCTTCGTCAACTCTTCGCTACGATTCTGCTGTATTCCATGCCAGCAGATACGAAGGATCTCTGGGATAAATTCTACGACGAATTGGCCCGCGATTACGAGTACCAGTACCGCGAGCTGACCAACAAAGAACAAATGGTAAAGTTCAAGACCCTTCACAGCCTCCACGAGTTCCTCACGGCAGGTGGGATCGCTCTGTCGGACTTTGACGACCTCCCGCAGCTTTCCGAGTACCCACACTTGGTCTTGGACTCGCTGCTTGAGAACAACCATATCCGCCGCGAATTGGAAGGATATGATAGAAACGAGCTACAAGACATCGTAGAAGATGCTGACAGACTCAACACGAACCAGACAGAAATCTACGACGAAATTGTTGGCTCAGTCGAAGACAGTCAACCCGATCAAAAGCTGTTCTTCATCGATGGTCCGGGCGGCACGGGGAAGTCCACGCTGCTCAACCATGTGCTGGCGAAGATACGTCTTAAAGGCAAGATTGCGATTGCTGTTGCTTCCAGCGGCATTGCCTCGCTGCTGCTTCCAGGCGGCCGTACCGCACATTCCACGTTCAAGATCCCGTTGAAACCGACGAACATATCCACATGCTTCATTCGAAAACAGTCCAAGCTCAAAGCATTTATCAAGGAGGCAAGTCTTATCGTTTGGGATGAAGCCCCAATGACGCACTGGTTTGCGTCTGAAGCGGTGGATCGCACGCTTCGCGATATTTTGGACAATCTGTATGAACCGCTTGGAGGCAAAGTGGTTGTCCTGTCCGGTGACTTTCGACAGATTCTTCCAGTTGTCAAGAAAGGAACACCAGCTGATACTGTGGATGCGTGTTTCAAGTCGTCCGACCTGTGGTCCCACTTCAAGCAAGTTCATCTGACTGTGAAGATGAGAGTCCAGTGTGCAGAGAACCAAGAATCAGCCGCAGAACTTGCTGCCTTTTCAGATTTTCTTTTGAAAGTCGGAGAGGGTAGGCATGAAGTTGATCCAGACCTCGGTCCGGATTGCATCAAGATTCCGCGTGCCATGGTGATCGGCAATCCTCAATACGACCCAGACATCGACGGAGATGAGGACGGCAATCATCTGCCCGTTTCACTCGGGTTGAAGAGGATTGTCGATGCCATGTACAGTGCAAATGAATTGAATTACCCTACGGTGGCAACGAACGACTACTTCGCTCGCCGCACTATTCTGACACCGACCAACGCCGCTGTGCAGCGAGTGAATGAGGGTGTCGTGGATCGCCTCAGAGAAACTCCACAAGTGTACCTGTCTACAGATTCGGTTGAGGACGACGAGAGAGCAGGGTCAGCATTCTTTGAGACAGAGGTCCTCAACTCGGTGAACATCAACGGGGTTCCGCCACACAAGTTGATCCTCAAGAAAGGCATCCCAGTGATGATGATGCGCAACTTGAACCCGGACGCTGGCCTGTGCAACGGAACACGGCTGCGCATCGTGGAAATGAAGCCACACGCGACTATCATGACAGGAACCCATAACGGTGAGGAGGTGTTGATCCCTCGGATCATCTTCATCAGCCACGACGACACGAAGGACTTCCCATTTCGACTTCGGCGCAAGCAGTTCCCATTGTCCCAGCCTTCGCGATGACCATCAACAAGGCGCAAGGGCAAACTGTTCACAACCTGGGATTATATCTACCAACGCCATGCTTCTCGCACGGCCAACTGTACGTGGCACTATCGCGAGTCACGGCAAGATCCAACATCAAGGCGCTTATTGAGGGACCTGACGACGAGGAGGAAGACGGAGTGTACACGAAGAATATCATGAATCGCCAGATATTTGAATAAGTTGCATTCTATATTTGAATAAGTTGCATTATTGAATAATGTCGATTGAGCGTCTCATAAAAATACATATAATCTCACAAAAATAAACATTGAACAATCACCAAAACATGTCTATTGTGTCCAGCCACTTTCAACTCCCCACCAACCAAGTATATACACACCGCCCGCGAAGCGGGCGGCGACTGCTAGTTATTATAACAATCACAAATTGTGACAAAGCGAAATTCCCACAAGCAAAACACCACGCTCACGTGACGAATTCTTAAACAAACTGCAACACTGAAGTGACAGAACTCAACAAAAATACGCCGCAATAAAAATAACAACATCAATGGACAAATCGTAAAAACAGACAACACACGCACGTTAATAGCTGTTAGAAGAAGACAACACCTAGCACCTTCAACTAGACACATTATACAGCCAACTCGTAAATGGGGCGGTATATGACAGCCTTCGCTGCTGTCGACGGGGCCAAGCAGCGAGTGTTTAACTCCATTGTTTCAGAATCAGTGTCATCACCCGGTCACAGCGCCTTAGCCAAACTACATCTCCCCAACAAGACAGCCTTCCCTATGCTGTGTATTTTAGCGGTATATTTATGGACGCACTTGAAGATAACAATTCGTCTAGAAAAGGCAGGCGACTTGTTCTACCAACACGATTTCCAATTTATATCCGAAAGAAGTATGAGTTCATTCATGAGTAGTATTCACTAAGCCCCGATAGCACTAACCTACACACAGTTATGATTAAACAAAGTAAACATTAGTCGCCCATCTCAGCTCAGACATGATCATAGCAATTATTTCCAAATCCGTGTCGGGTCCCACGAGAACAGGGCACGTCCACAAATTCTCAAATTGTAAACTCACAGAGCATACTCTAACATTATAAACTCTAACAATGTAACCTTTAAAACTATGAGCTATACATTGTAACGCTTTAAAATGACACTACAAACTAGTGTTATAGTAAACTATAATGTTGTGAACTCTAACAATATAAGCTAACAGCGATACATTATAACGCTATAAAATAACATCATAAACAAGTGTGATATTCGAATCTCTAAGAATCACACTATGCTCGTGAGTATGTAACATGTCTGTATGTAATATGCATGAATGTAATATGTATGTATGTAACATGTCTGTATGTAATATGTATGCATGAGATATGTCTCTATGTAGTATGTATGCATGTAACATGTATGTATGTAATATGGACGTGCGAACCAAGGGTGGGATATGTGAAGCGGAAGGTGCAGGATCAGGATGGGATTAAAATTATTTGAATAACACTTTGGAGGTATTAGGATCAAGCTGTCTACTATTGGATGAATGTTCCATCTCAATGGCATCAAATAGCAATATTCAGTATGAATATGTAAAATAATCGCACAAACCCAATATTAGCCCGTGAAATAATGAATCGTTATAATTGTAATGACTCCGTAGTCAGACTGCAGAGGGTTCTTTTATTTAGCCTTTAACGCGGTTTCAGACCCCAGGCGTCACGATATAGCAACGACGACGACGAGACAGCAACCAGCCAACACAGCCCCGAACCTCGTTCCTCCCCCTCTCTCATTCTCTGCGTGAACCTCCGCCCACACTTGGTCCCGCCTTCCCTTCTCGAACTCTCTCTATCTTGTTGTCACCACTTGTCCCTTAGTTGACGCACTGTCTTTACATCACCCACCTCTATGACCTCTACCTGACCCCACCATAGGCGGAGCAACTTGGGGGACATACAGATGTGTATGTAAATTATCTGTTCAATCGGGGGTCGGATATGTGAACCGTGGGGTGGGGGGGTACAGGGCAAGACTTGCATTCAAATTTCAGAATAACAATATGGTCGTATTAGCATTTTAATGGGCTTGAATGTATGTTACGTGCAAATGCAAATCGTTAGTCGTAAATGCGAGGGAGGGGTTAAGAGATGCACGTTTAATCCAGTGTTAACATTAATTTTAGCATCATATATAAGGACACTATTGTTGATAATAACTCGTCTGGACATGTCATGTGACTTGTTCTACTCGATCAACCAAAATTAGTACAATGTCGGTCATACAGGAGTGTGATTTCATTCATGAGTAGTAGTCACACAGCCCCGATGACACTAACCTACCTAAAGTTATGGTTAAACAAAGTAATCTTGAGTGACCTAATTCTCAGCTCAGACATGATCATCGCAATTATTTCCAAAGACGTGTAGGGTCGTGCGAGAGCAGGTGCCGACTACAAACAGCTGGGCAGCAGAATCGGAAGTAGCTGCGTTGCCCTCGAAATGTGATGTTGCTGCTGTTGTTGTCGCTGCTGCTGTTGTTGCTGCTGTAGTTGTTTCTGTTGCTGCAATAAACGCAGGGAGGTGGTGTTCCGTGATGGGATGACGACTTTGATTAAAGCCTCTGATCAAACTCACCCGATTGACGCCCTTGATCGTCGCATTTGATCAACTCTGATATTGTAGACTCTCACATGTTAAGCTCTATCATAGTGAAACATAATATTATAACCTATGAACTACAACCTATCCATTGTAACGCTGTAAAATAATATTACCTATTGGGTTTCACTCCCTCGTCGAGAAGGCCGCTCTCTTCCTTTTCTAAAGTTACATTCTAATTTCTCTGCATTCACTTTAAATCGAGGACAAAGTTTTTCCATTTATTCAAAATAAGCGCACAATTACACACTGAGATGCACTTACATATTCATGCATGAAGCACAATGGACACATTACTCTTCGGTATGTTAATAGACATGCGGATTGTACCTTCCAAAATTAACAATCGAATGTAAATATCCTGAAAGACAAAGGATTGGATCCTAGGGGGGGGGGGAGTTATAAGGCGATTCAGAAGCAGAGCTCAATGCCATTTCGAGAGGGAACTTGATGAGGTTGGACGCTCGACTCGTCGCTCTGCTGATCGCCCTTCAACCGCGAGACAACGCAGCCTGGCGAGCACAATTGCTGTGTCGACAGTTAGGCGACTTTGCGTCGGGAGAGTTCGTGGCGACATTTTCAGACGGGTTACAGACATCGATCTACCGTGAATCTCCAAGTAAGTGTCTATTTTCGCGGATAAACTCTTAAACGTTTTCGTCGTTAAATTAGCGGGATTTGTTTTTCCTCTCGTTTAGACACGAGTGTCGTTCTTGTTTTAGCAGTTAACAAAATCCAAAACTCAACGTTAAACATCCTTGCGGCCGATAGCGTACTTTTGACTCAATAACACCGCTGCTGTTACTACGCTCACATGGAGCAGAGAGGCTCTCCACAGCCCCACGCACACGGAGACAAGAAGCCATTCAATTGCTCTGTGTGTGAGAAGTCCTTTTCACGGTCATCAAGTTTTAAGAGACACCAGAGAACACACACGGGCGAGAAGCCATTCCTGTGCCCTGTGTGTGGGAAGGCATTTTCACAGTCATCACATCTTCAGATTCATCAGAGAACACACACGGGCGATAAGCCATTCCTGTGCCCTGTGTGTGGGAAGGCATTTTCACAGTCGTCAAATCTTAGCACGCATCAGAAGGTCCACAATGATAGGAAACCGAAATCAAAAGCTGAAGTTCAAGGTGCTGCATTGAGTCCTGAAGAATTTTCCACCCTCGATCCCATGCAGTTGGATCCCGAGAGATGGCTGGATGTAATGGAGTGGCTCGACGATCAAACCGAGAGTCAGGGATGACTTACAGTTTTTGTGAGAGTTTAATGACGTGCACAATGGTGGTTTGTAATGTTATCGG